TTGCTGATTGACAGTTGCAAAAATAAATAAAAAATAAACAACTTTTTGGAATGGAAAAGCATGTATTTTGTGTATGAGAGATTACACTGCCACACAATCCATACAATGTGCAATGGAAAACTAATTTTCCAAAATTACTAAACCATTCAAAAGAATTTTAAACATAACATAAATCACAGATGGGCAGTTTGCAGCCCTTGATTAAATTTTATGTTGAGCTGATTTAAGAAGTCGTCCACATGCAAAGCGTTCAGATGTTTTTTTGTTGTTTTTTTTTAAAAATTGATCTATATTCCACCCTTCTCCGGAGACTCAGGGCGGCTTAAAATGTGTTAAGCAATAGCCTTCATACTTTTGTATATTTATACAAAGTCAGCTTATTGCCCCCACAAACTGGCTCCTAAATTTACCTACCTTAGAAAGGTGGTTTAACAGATAATTTCAATATAGAAAAAGGAACAAGGCAAGGTTGTCTCTTGTCTCCGTTATTGTTTATTTTGACACTGGAAATTTTACTAAATAAAATACGTGGGACAGATATAATAAAGGGAATTAGAATTAGACAGCATGAGTACAAGCTACGAGCATTTGCGGATGAGCTGGTGGTCAACTTAGCCCAACCAGTACAATCGATTACAGCCTTGATGGATATAATCTGCTCATATGGACAAGTATCTGGTTTTAAAATAAATACAACTAAAACAAAGATAATAGCTAAAAATATGGTCAGAAGCCAGAAAGAAGAGATAGAAAGGTTAACAGGATTTGAAATAGTTAAGAAGGTTAAATATTTAGGGGTTTATATTATGATTGCAAATATGAAATTTTATCATCATAATTATGAACCGTTATGGCAAAAAATACAGAAAGAGATGGATAATTGGAAAAAATTACAACTGTCTTTGCTGGGTAGGATAGCCGCTGTAAAAATGAATATCTTACCAAAATTGTTATTCCTTTTTCAAATGATACCTATACTTTAAAAAGATGAAAATTTGAAGGAATGGCAGAAGGGCATAAATAAGTTTGTGTGGGCAGGGAAGAAACCGAGTGTTAATCAAAAGATAATGCAAGACACCCGAGAAAGAGGTGGTCTTAAAATGCCTAATTTAAGATTGTATTATGAAGCCACTGCCCTCTCAGCAATTACAGATTGGATAAATTTAACGGAGGAAAAGATATTGAATATTGAGGGATATGGTCTGGTCTATGGCCGGCATGCTTATCTATTGTATGACAAGAAAGTAGATAAGACTTTTAAAAGTCATATATTAAGAAATGCTGTATTGCGTGTCTGGAAAAAGTATAAATATAAACTAAATGATAAGTTACCAATATGGACAGTACCCAGACATGCGATAGAGAACATAAATTTGGAGCAAAAGCAAGATAAGATTACATATTTACCTGAGATTTGATATTTTCTTTTTAAAAAACCCTTTTTTTCAAAAATCAATAAAGTATTTATAAAAAAAAAAAATCATATATCACGCTAAATTAAAAAAAAAGATTACATATAAGGAACTCCTTTATAAGGAAGGAGTCAGATTACAATTAAAATCTATGGAGCAATTAAGAGAAGAAGGAATTATTAGGACTTGGTTTCAGTATGGTCAACTGCAGGCCAGATGGAGAGAAGATCAAAAAATTGGTATTTTGCAGCAGGATGAGAATTTGAAAAGCAAATAAGAGATAAAGGTCAAATGCATATAAAAAGGTTGTATAATGTATTAGTGGAAATAGACTCAGAAACAGAGCTAGTCAAGGATTGTATGATAAAATGGGCACAAAACATAGGTGAACGAATAATGATGGAAACATGGGAAAAGATATGGGTTAGAAATGTAAGATTCACACAAGCTCAAAATCTAAGAGAGAACTTTTATAAAATGTTTTATAGATGGCATTTAGACCCAAAAAAACTAGCCTGTATGTACCCAAATTTACAACCTAAGTGTTGGCGATGTGAGTGTAAAGATGCTACATATTTTCATATATGGTGGACATGTAAAAAATTAAGGCTTTTTGGATAAAAATATGGTGGATTATTCAAAATATTTTAAGGAAAAAAATTAAATTTACACCACAGTTTTTTCTGCTGGGAATAGTTACGGATTGTACTGTAATAGAGACTAAGTTGGTTTTGAACTTAATAACAGCTGCCAGGTTACTGGTGGCACAGTATTTGAAGAAGGAAGATCCACCCACCATTGAGGAATGGACACTAAAAGTCGTGCATTTGGCAGAGATGGCAAAAATTTCATCATACCTTAAAGACCATTCAAATGAAAGATATATATCGGAATGGAGAAGATGGATTGACTATATACAAAAAAAGTATCTAAACAAGAAGATACATATAGCTTATGAATGAAATAATATTTAAGTAGTGTATGTTTATAGTTTTTTGAGTTATAAGGAGTTACAGACATAGGGAGAATATGAATGCAATAATTTGTTAGCATATTTTAGCTTTATGTTTGTGAATGCTATACCCTGTGCTTGTTCTGGGAAGTCTAGGGACGGGGGTGGGGGGGAAGGAGGGGAAGGGGGGTGGGAGGCAGGGGGTGGGAGGGGTTGAGGGGGGAAGGGGGGGGGGGAGAAAATGGTTGTATTTCCTATAAAACTTTTCAATAAAAAAAAAAGGATGGAAGGCTGGTGAGATTTGAACTTACAAGTAATTGCAGACAACTGGTGTTAATCACAATGCTATCAGTCTGCTAAGCCACCAGGCCCAAATGGACAGATGTTGATCTGTCCATTTCTAGGCAAGTAGGTATCATAAAGAGAACATGATTGTGGGGATGGAAAGAATATCAGATGGGATGGAATTATAATGTAACCCAACCTATTTCTTGGTTTTTGCCTCTGCTACAATAGCTTGCTTTATTTCCTCCCATCAATTCCATGTAGACTTCACTAGATCAACCATAATGGAATGCAACCCATAGAAAAAGAAAAGTTGTTAGCTTATTGAAAAGGATGGATATGAATTGAAATGACTACGTTTAAGATATTTTTATTTATAGAAATTTTAATGATACTTTTGTTAAACTTGCCTCATCCTTTTAGGCATAAATGTCCTTCTTGAACAATCATTGATATGGATGTTATTACAGTTCAGTTCAGGACCTATGGGGTTTTTTTAAATGTATGAATTCTTTATACATCAGGCCTCATTTCCCCAGACCAGATTTCATAATTTTAGTTCATTCTAGGGCATGGTTTGACGCTAAGTAGAACTGGATTTACTTAGTCTAAATATCACTACCATAGCATCACAAGTATGACTCCCTGAGTCCTCAGGGAGAAGGGCGGTATACAAATTTAACAATAAATTTTAGGCTGTATATTCTGGGCTTCAGTTCTCTTCTCATAAGTATAGATGTTTTATGTGGGGTTTTCATGGTGGATTGGGTTGTGAAAAATCATGAATATGGTTCATGAAGATTATAATTCTACAAATTTTAGGGAGAGACTTGTATGCCAACTCTCTCATGGTTGCCAATTTTTTTTCCTGTGAGACATACAAGTATGTACAGTATGTTGAGTGTAAGACAGAGAAAATGAGGCTGAAGGAGAATGGGTGTGTAGCAGGGGTGTGTTCTACTTACCTCCGCTACTGGTTTGCAGGAGGAGTGTGCACGCACGCTTCTGCACATGCACAGATTATTCATGATGATGTCTGGGTGGGTGGGCAGACCCTCCCGCCGCCGTTACTACCGGTTTGCAAGAACCAAACTGAACCGGGAGCAGCCCACCACTGGTGTGTAGGTACAGTCCTTTTTCAAAGTTGAAGTTAGAACTGTATTACATTTGTACATACTGTAATACATTTGTTCATGAAATGCTAATTGTGAGGAGATTATTTGAGCATTATCTCCTCACACAATTAACATTTCATAAACAAATGTAATACCATTCCAACTTCAGCTCTGAAAAAGAACTGTACCTACACATCCATTCTCTTTCAGCCTCACTTTCTCTGTCTTATACCCAACTTACTGTACATCACATATAAAACAATATTCAAAGTGCAGACCAAAAAACTGGCTGATATTATTTGTCCTTAAGATTAGAAACAAGCTTGAATTTTAACAGAGAATGACTTGTGATAGTGTCAGAAAGTGTTAATGCAGTGACTTGGCTAAATTCCAAATTGATAATTAAGTTCTTCCTATCTAAAATGCTTCCTACAGAATGAGATGAAAAAAATATGTCATTATTTGCTGTCCTAGATAAAAGGTAACTCCTCCAGTCTCAGACTTCTGAGGAGAGGAACACCTCTGAGGGACAAACTATTCCCCCCAACTACTCTTAAAAGCAATCAAATGACCCAAAACTGGTTTTTTTCAACATTTGCCCATTTCATTGCAAATTTGAGTGGTGCAATCTTAAAATGGGGAGCAGGGCAAAAATTAATTTGCTGAGATCCATATGCAACCTGTGGTTCTATTCCTGGGTTAATTGACCAAGGAAATCTGATTGTCTTTTTTTTTTTTCTATGACTTAATACTGTGGTAAGAAGAACATTTGTGTGCAAAACCCGAAACCCTACCAATGCTGCTAAAGTTAAACTATAGTTGTCAGCAACTCAACCAATATGGCTACTAATGGCTACTAATGAGGGATGTTCTCCGTTCTGTTCAGAACATCTGGAAAGTTATAAGCTTCACTGGTCTGGTTTATATGCACATTCTCTTTTCAAGAAAGCTCAGAGCAGTATATGAAGAAAATTAGATGATATTGAAAGACAGTGCACTTACACATCTAAGAGAAACATGTTCCTTCTTTAATACCAAACATGTTTACAGAATCTGATCCAGTTTCTCTCACGCACAAGTAATACATGACTTTGTGAGCAGACAGCAGCAAATTGTACTCACCAGATTTGGCAAGTGGTAATGTTTCTGCTGACTATTGAACCAGCCAATGTAAATTACAGAATGTAGAACATGGTCAGCAGGAGAAGCTGAGGCAGGAAATTACTGAATCCAGATGGAAAACAATGTGGGTGAGATGTGCCAGCTGGCATATACAGCATGATCCCCAAGAGCTTTGTCCGAATGTCAGTCTCTGCATGGTGTACTTTAAAAAAAAAATAGAACATATAGTCTGTAGATGGCTGCTAAATTCTAGCTGGAGACTGCAGGGAATCATGTGTTGTGCTTAGTACGTGCACAAATGCAAATCAGTTTGACATGTGTCCTATGGTACAACAGCATTGGGCATATTATGTACAATGTCCTCATTAAAGATATGATGATGATGATAATAACATTTTCCCAGCTTGATTACTGCATCATTCATTTTACTCGCTGACTGGTTGCCACTTGAAATTAAACATTCATAAGGTGATGTCAAACAATTTGAGAAAATGCATGTTACATATGTTGTATTTTTTACTAGCTTTTAAATGTTACTTTTATGCGGTTTTTCAATTTTTGATAATTCATCCCAACAGCCCTTTCTGTATTGCTACATCTGTCTGCATTATTTAACTATAGCCTTCCTTAGTTGCTGCAACATGTCCCACTGGCAGTATTTCCAAATCTTTGGCATTTATGAGTTGAACTAATACCTATAGTTTGTCAAGAAAAACATAAAATTAAAGTACATTTTCTAGGATAACTGCAATTATTCTAAGCCCCTGCTGTTAACTTTGAAACTATATAATAAGTCCAGAGCTCTTTCCTCTAATTGCAGCCTACTTAGTTACTCGCCATTACTGTATGGGAAATATTTTTCTTGACACCGACTAAGTGGGCTTTTATTTGAACCTCACAATTCATATATAGATTATATTTCATGGATTGCCCAGCCAATTATAGAATAACAGAATAAGAGAGTTGGAAGGGGGTCTTCTAGTACAATATTCTGCTCAAGCAGGAGACCCTATTCCATTCTAGACAAATGTTTGCCCTGTCTCTTCTTGCAAACCTCAACTGTTGGAGCACCCACAATTTCTGAAGGCAAGCCATTCCAGATGTTAATTCTTACTCTCAGGAAAATTATCCTTAATTCTAGGTTGCTTCCCTCTTTCATTGGTTTCCATCATTGCTTCTTGTCCTGCATTCAGATGCCTTTGGAGAATAGATTGACCCTCTGTTCTTTGTGGCAGCCCCTGAGATATTGGAACACTGCTATCATGTCACCCCTAATCATTCTTTTCACTAGATTAGACATGCAATTCCTGCAACTGTTCTTCATATGTTTTAGCCTCCAACCCCTTAATCACCTTTGTTGCACTTCTCCACACTCTGTCTAAAGTCTTTTTAATATCGTGGTGACCAAAACTGGATGCAATATTCCAAATGTGGTCTTACCAAGGCATTATAATGTGGTACTAACATTTCATGTGATATTGATTCTATCCTATTAATGAAGCCTAGGACTGCTTTAACTTGGCAGCTGCAGCACACTGCTGGTTCATATTCAAGTGATTGTCCAGTTACTACTATTGAGCCAGGTATTACCTATTCTATACTTGTGCATTTGGTTTTGCTTGTCTAAATGTAAAATCTTACTTCTCCCTACATTGAATTCCATCTTGTTAGGCAGAATGGGCAATAAAGTAGCAAAGGAAAGTCTGTTTTATAAAGTTGTCGTTATTGCTTTCTTGGGTAGCATCAGTTAGTTTTGGGAATCTTCTCTGGTATTATTTATCTCTCCACAAACAAATTGCAGTTGGTACAATCATCCAAAATGTACAGATTTATGTGCAGATGAGTGAAATAAAAACCTGTGGATTCCTTCTCCCGGAGTTACTCATGACCCTTGCTAAGAAGTGAGAATTGAAGTCCATAAATCTGGAAGATACGTAGATCCCAGGAGGCTGATTTGGGCTATTGATCTTAATCCTCTGCTCAAGGCTCAATACAATTAAATTGTCTTCACAGCCTGGAATTGTCTCTCTGTGTACCCAGACTTAATTTTTATCTTGTCTTTCACATTCATTGCTCACTCAAAATGTTGGTTGTATTCTTAATCTGAATATGATTATTTTTTAATCTCACCACATTTGAAATTCCTCCCTTGCCTTTATAGCTAACCAAAACCACCCCTCATTATTTTGCCAACATCATAATTGCTCATATCCTGTCTCAACTAATTTGGGGAATTTCCCTTCACGATATAACAATTCTTATTCAACTTTTAGCTCCCAGTAATAAATTAACCTTTTTTCACTCTGCTATCAATTAAGCAAATTGGAGAATCCTTTCTCAGCTCAAAAGCAAAAAAGTTATTCCTTTGACCTTTAATAGACATCCAGACAAAATGTACCATTGGAATGTCTTAATTTTATAGAAATTACCTACTGAATACTGATGAGCAACATTTTTAGTCCTCTTAGCTTCCTAAAATTCTACAGGCTTGCCTTGCTTGAAATTTACTTTACATCAGTGGTGAAATCTGAACTGGTTTGCTACCAGTCCGCTGGCCGCGCATACATGCTCTTAAGACCTTTTTATTTCACCAGGCTGGTCTGGCCTAACCTTTCCCATTCTTTTTTAATGTAAATTTTAATGTAAATTTTAATTTGTTCTTAACCTGGGGTTTTAAATTTGTCTTGGGCTAAATTGATTTAATTCGATTTTATTTCTGCTCTTAATTTTTGTATTTTACGTGTTTTATTCTGTGCCTGTTCACTGCCCTGAGTCCTTCGGGAGTAGGGCGGTATACAAATTAAATAAAATGAAATGAAAATGAATGAATGCTGTGCGCCAAATGCAAGCTGTGCTGCATGCGCATGCACAGTGCACACCAAACACGCGCTGTGCTGCATGTGCATGCACAGTGCGCACCAAAGTGTGCTGTGCACATGCATGCACAGTACACAGCAAAAGGAGGCTTGGGAAGGTAAGTAGAACAGTGCCACATGCTCAGTACGAGCCAAAAGGAGGCTTGGGAAGGTAAATAGAACAGTGAGGGGGGATCAGCTGGGCTGCCCGGTTTAGCTTTGCTAGAAAGCAGGAAATCTGAACTCAAACCAGAGCAAACAGGTAGCATTTCACCCCTGCTTCACACCTGTAGAGTTTGATTATTTTTCATTCCCATAAATAAGGTATTTTTTTTTAAGTATGTTATCATCCAGATGTCTGCATTTATTTCTCTGAATTTTGTTATTAGGCTTCACAGACAGACAGACAGACACATAGAGAGAGATGTGTGTATGTGAGAGAGAGAAAGAATTATAACTTCATTAGACTCAACCAGGTGAACAGGACTGTTTTTGGATTTGAGTAAAAATCTCTTTTTTCTTTCCTCATTCTTTCTTTAATTATGAACTTTAAAATATAAAGGGAGATAAAAAATCACAAAATTGTAAAAGAAAGGATTTGAATCAAAATCTCAATATCGATTATATTTCTCAAGTTTTGTATTTCTCTGACACCAGCCACTACCACAAGTTGCTTTTTTAAATTGTGCATTGATGTAGTTTAAAGAAAAACCTAAGACTCATAGCCAATTCTTTATGCATATCTAAAACAGCATATCTCAAAATACAAATAACAGATATCAGCTTATAACAATGTCAAACAAAACATACAATAACTTTCTGTACCAGTCACAGGTACTAGGATCTCAGCTATGGGTGGCATATAAATTTAATGAATAAATAAATAGATATTTAATACTGACAGAGATAAATTATTTGCCATTTCTCTTCCATCTCCATAAAAGGACCGTTTAGTAAGTGCTTGATTAAAGAGATCTTGGATGGAACTTATAAAACCTAAATGCACGCATGTAAAATCCTAGTTGTCATTTATCCATGAGCAAAATAGATTTGTATAAAATCCCTTTTACATATATGATATGCATAAAATACATAGAAAAAGCATGTGTAAAAACCCATTCTCTTTTGTGGCCTGTATAGGATAGGCATGTGTAAAATCCCATTCAAATTTAACATACATTCTGTTTTAATGCATCTCTTCTATCCCATTGCTCTGGTAAATCAAGGGTTTACTGCATACAGAATATTTTTATTAAATAGCTGCATTCCACTGCAGAAATGGCAATTATCCATTCCTGCTTCAGATTTATTATTCATACAAATATGTATTGAATTAAATGCGTTAAACCACTGAATAATTAGCCATTGCAACACTGATAGAAACCAAGATGCCATCCTGCCTTTGGTTCAACTCCATCTTATCCGAGTTGAATGTTATATCGTTGTTTTGCAATACACATTGTTCAGGACCATTGTTCATTTTGCTGATTTTATTCCCATTGCAGGGTTTGTATTGGCCAATTTAAGTTATTGAGACTAGTGTTTCATGCAGTTGGTCCTTTTCCCTGTTTATCCAAGCTACCACCTTGTTCTGACCTGATTTATAAACACAATTAACAAGACTTTAAAAAAAAATTCCAGTTCTCTTTTTACAGATTTCGCTATTCCATTTCTTTGCATATTAGGACTGAAGTCCACAGTTATGAAATTCTCTTCTCCCCTGATCTGGCTCCCTGCATCTTTAGATGTAGATGTATTAAAGATGTGAAAGCTTATTTCATAAAGCAGACTGATTGATAAAAGCCATTGTGAACCCTTCTTGAAATGGAGAGTATTAAAGTTAGCTTTTATTGTTGAAAAGTTATGAGCAAGATTAGATGGCAGGAAATTGCATTTAGTGTTGTGAGTCTTTTTTACCATATAGTGGATGTTGATTTCATTGCTCTTTGATAATTTTAAGGATTATTTGTTTTTACTTATTATTTTGATTGAAGATGGATTATACCAGTGGGTGGGGGAATGTTATAAATATTATTTTTGTTCGTTTGTCTTGAGAATTAACGAAAGAGCCAGTGGTTCTCAGACCAGAAGGGGCAATTCTGTACATTCTCAATAACCATTCAACTTCAAGATCTCCAAGAACTGCACAAACAGTGCATTAATTCATGGGGAGAGCAGAACATTAAAAAAAAAAAAAAAAAGGAACTGTAGACTCAAGCCACCATGAGCTTTACAACTGGCAGCAGGCAATGAACTGTTTCATATGGTTTCATTCTTGTCAGCAGTAAAAGATTCTTATTTAACTGAGCCGTATCTGTGAAACCTGCCGTATCTTTTTCTAGGAAATGGGTTGTGTGAAAGAACAACTCTGTAATTTATTACCAAGCTGTGAATAAATAAATAAACCTTACAATGCGGAAATTTAGATGTAGCATTATCATCTAGCAATTTATTTATTTATTTGAAATATTTATATGGCCACCTACATTATATGAAACAACTATTGGCACCTAACAAACACAGCTTAATAATAATTAAAAACAAGTTTGAGACTCGTAACACGCTATCAGTGTCATAACAATACTCTCTTAAATCATCATTTCAGCCGTTATGCAGGATGAAGGCCTGTTCCGCATGTTTCCAACCAATATGGTCCAGAGCTTTCTTTTACATGCATATATACCGGGCTCACCTCCCATCTTCCCCAATGCCTGAGAGAAGAGGCAAGTCTGAACCTCTCTGTTTCAGGGTGGAACAGGGGTGGTATTCACTTACCTTCACTATCGGTTTGCAAAAGTGAGAGTGTGCGCAGAGCATCAAAAACGGGACATGATGACATCCGGATGGGTGGGCAGAGCCTCCCACAGGCACCACTACCGGTTCGCCCAAATCGGATAAAACCAAATGAATACCACCACTGGGGTGGAGGCTATTCTGTGGAAAAGGCTTTGAAAATAATAATCAGGATATCGATAGCTTTGAAAATATTCTTGGGAAAGGCAGTCTATAACTTGGTACAATGCCTACTCTTAAAAATCCTGGTTGAGGATGCAACACCTTTTTGGTGTGCAAATGGATTTTCTCCCTCGACAGAGAGGAGACAGATTTTAATTCTCATACTTAACTGAGAGGGTTGAAATCTTCTTAAGAAGCCTCCCTCATCTCTGTCCATTATGCCATGAAGTGGAATTTATCTATCATGTATGTGCCAGTTAGACCACATCATGTAAATTGCAACAGTTACTGAATAGTAAGTATACGTATATCAGGGATATCTAAAAGGGTTTATTTATTCCAGTCCCTCATAGAAATAGACCACAACTAGAGCATATTGGAAGGATATATGGTCAATGTTCATTGCAACAAAGTACTTATCATTCACAGGCAGTCTGTTTCACTGTCCAAATATTATTTAAAACACTCTAATTGCTTCTTATAAAAGCTCTTTCTTAAAAGTTTAGTACAGAGTTGTTTTACTTGGTTTGAATCATGGCTTCCTATTAATAATAATGGACACAGAATATTTTATAGGCTGCACCTGACCTTCTACAGATGTGTCCCAAGCCCCACCAATCATTTCCCACTGAGCCCTTTAAATATTCCTTCTCTATCTTACATTGTGTTTTAACCCTGCTAATGCATGACTGATATATTTCAATTGACTTTCTGAAGGTTAAGCCAAATTAATGAACGTTATAGCAGGTTTTCTATTAGAATTTCCCAACCCGGTGTCATCATTTCCCAGAACTCACCAGTCTTTATGTCAACTCTGAAGTTAGCCTGGCTGAGGCCATCTTGGAGGCTTCAGTGTTGCCACAATGGTGCTGAGGGATAGGGAGGGGGAGTAGAGATAGCTGGGGTTTTTGTAGCCAAAACAAAATAGTTCCCCTGTGAATCAAGGACATTCCCACAGGTGGCTGAAGAGAGGAGGAGTGATGCTACCTAGCAACCAGAGAGCGCCTTGATTGGCCCATGTGACTGATTGTGTGGGAAAGGGGGGGCTTTTAATTAGGTGAAAACCGCGGGAACCAGAGTCAGTTTTCACCAGCCTGTGCCAATATGATATATCCAATAAACCTGTTCTTTGAGGAAACTGCTTGCCTTGGAGTTCTGTTTGCTATGAGTGTATTACTTGGAACCCTGACACTTTATCCTAATGGAGTAGAAAATTCTGGAAGATGAATTCCCCAAATGTCCCCAGTGATGATGATGGTCAGGGGAGCATTAAATTGCAGAAGGCTTTATTTAGAACAACAGAAGAAGCAATGCTTTCAATTCAGTGATCTATATTGTTTATTTCATTGTTTATCTTCTTCGGCCTTTTTAACAGGCTAAACAAAATGAAAATCCCACAACTGCATGAAACCAATCTTTTCAATTTCCAATTAATGAAAGCTAGCAATAGGAGTCTTACTTCTGTTTTCAAACATGTCATAAGCTTATGCAGTTAACTGAAAAATCGAGGGATGGTCTGTGTTTTGTGTTTTAAAAGATTTTGTCAAAACAGTGTTGAAAAGCTTCAAAACCACGTGCCTTTGGAGTAAGGCATGTAGAACAAACTGGTTTGTCTGAATCACACTGAGAAAAGGGAAGTGTAGCCAGGAGGTGTGCCTTTGCATAGATAGCAAGCAATTAAATGTTCTCATCCAAGACAGCAAACAGGAACTCGTGTGGTTAGTTTGAGTCTGACTTTCTGTAAAAAGTCAAACTTTAAAAACACAGCCTGCAACAAGTGTAATATGTCTGATGCCAGTGCCATTAAGACCATTTGAAATAATCTGCTAATTTATATAGAAATAAATGACCAGGAAATGATGTGATGGTAAATACAATGAAAGCCATGATAGGTTTATCATAACAAAAGTATGGCTTTATATATTGTATAGTTCCGAACATTAGGACATTTTGTGGTCTTCAAACATTGCTGAAACGCGGATGACTGTGTTTGGGAAAACTTAAGTGATAGAATTGTATTAGGCAATTCGTTTTATTTCCAGATTACTGGAAATAGGTTCGTTTTATTTCCAGATTCCAAAACTACTGATTTGCATCAATACCAGTGTAGTTTAATATACTAACAAAGTGGAAGTGCTCTAGATATTAATATATTGGTAGCAGCAACAATTGATATCTATTATCCTTTAATAGAGTATACTATGGATGGATATACAATTTATTACCTGATACTTGCACCAGGATTTGCATACCTGGTGAAATATGGTGAAATATAAAATTTGTTACTACCGGTTCTGTGGGTGTGGCTTGGTGGGGGGTAATGTGACTGGGTGGACGTGGCCAACTTTTTTTTTTTTACTTTTAAAACCATTTTTTCTACAACCTCTTTGGCCGAAGAGGTTGTAAAAAAATGCTTTTAAAAGCCTTTGACGATCAGGCAACTCAGCTGGGATCGTCAGAGGCTTTTAAAAGCATTTTTCTACAACCTCTTCAGCCGAGTTGTAGAAAAATGCTTTTAAATTTTTTTTAAAAAAGCCTCTGATGATTGCGCTGGGCAGGGGGGCAGGCAGGGATGTTTGCTACCAGTTCTCTGAATCACCTGCTGCCATCGCTACCGGATCGAGCGATCCAGTCCAAACTGGGAACATTTCACCCCTGCCTGAATGGGTCATCAAAAGTTCAAAACCGATTCCAGTGGAATTGGTTCACATGCTTTGTAGTTGTTATTATTGTTATATCTCTATTTTATTTTAGTCAAATACTTATTTTAATAAGTTTTACAGACAGAAATGACAAAATAAAAATAAGGAAACAAGTATATGAAGTAAAAGCTACAAAAGCAAACAAAAAAGAGGAAAAAAGGGAAAGCTTCCATATATGTCAGATACGTCAAACAGATTTCTCAATCTACCTGGGGGAAAGAGTAGTTAATGATTTTCTAACGTTCCAAAATGTGTTTAAAATCTATGCCACAGAAAAAAAACACTGAGTCATTTTTTTGATGAATAGATAAAGTTGCCATTTCAAAAATGAGTAAGTCATTTCATATGCCGGTCAAGAAATGCAATGAAATTGTTGGGATAGAGAGGTACAAATAATCCTGCGCTGCGCTGCAAATTGTCCTTCAAATGTACTCTGTTTTGTTTTTGCTGCAAAACGCAATTAGTCTTAACAACAGATTGGGTTAAATTCATTTGGGGAAAATGATGGCATTTCAGACTTGCTTTCATATTTCATGCCAGTTTACCCGAAATGTGTGTTTGGCCTCTGCTGATTTGCATGATTGTGGATAGAACTGTAAAATGTGGTAACTGCACAGTATTGTGGTTCAGTGACAAGAACAGATGAAGGAAGTGAACAGGGCGGTTAAACTGGTTTCAAACAGACCAGGTGGCAATCCTACTATAAAAATATTTTTCTTATCTCTCCCCTATGTGACTGATTGTAGCAACCAACAACCAACCCCTCTGTAATTAAAGGGGGGGGAAAGAAAGTACATGAGCAGAAGGGCAAATGAATCACATTATCCAAACATATTAAAAGTATTTCATTCTTCATATATGTTAATTAGAGATAAACTTTGAGTGCGAGTGTAGAGACAAGCATCTTTGTTCCATTAAATGATGATTGAAAATGCTGCCTTTCTCTGAAAAAAAAAAAAGAACCTTCAATCCTGCAGGTTAAGCATCTGCAGCTAAACCCAGGGTTATGTCTGTTATGAGTTCTAATAATACACTTCTGCATTAATTGTACAGGGGCTCTTCTTTGCATTGTGGACCTGCAGAGGTGGTACTATTATCTTTCTTGAACTTTCTTGTCCGCCTCCCACCCCCATTTGCATATATCAGGAGGCACATCTGCATTGTGGCAGGAGCATGGAAATATGGAGCAAGCATCTCTGTACACATCCCCCTCCCAGTGCATAAAGAACACAAGGATAAAGATAGGTTCACAAGAACGTGATGGCACAAGGGGTCCTATTCTCTCAGTACAATTGTTAATAGCACAAAGATGGCATCTATCTGGAGCTACTTTAACAATGAACAGAGTAGAAATGATAAAAGGTTAGTACAGGTCCTCGACTTACGACCACAATTGAGCCCAACATTTATGTTATTAAATGAGATAAGTGAGTTTTGCCCCATTTTATGCCCTTTCTTGCCACAGTTGTTAAGTGAGTCACCACAGTTGATAAGTTAGCGACCTGGTTGTTAAGTGCATCTGGCTTTCCCGTTGACTTTGCTGGTCAGAAGGTCACAAAACATGACCCTGGGATGCAGCAAAGGTCATAAATATGAACCAGTTGCCAAGCACCTGAATTTTGATCACATGATCATGGGGATGCTACAAAGGTCATAACTATGAAAAACAGTCATTTTTCAGTGCCATTGTAACTTTGAACAGTCACCAACTGTTGTACGTTGAGGACTACCTGTATTGTACAATAACTAGTAAAAAAGGTGGAATGTAACCCTTTCTCCAAGTTCCAGGAAAATGGTAAAATTTCATAGGCTCACTGTGTAGTGAGAAAACTGAATTTATTTGATATAACCAGGGAAAGCTTCCCAAATCTTAACTTGGACACAATTCTAAAACATGGTTCAGCTTTATTAACTCTTGTCTATAACTCCTTAAGGGAAGTGGTGGCTCAGTGGCTAAGATGCTGAGCTTGTCAGTCAAAAGGTCAGCAGTTCAGCGGTTCGAATCCCTAGTGCCGCGTAACGGGTGAGTTCCTGTTACTTATCCCAGCTTCTGCCAACCTAGCAGTTCAAAAGCACGTAAAAAATGTAAGTAGAAAAAAAGGGACCACCTTTGGTGGGAAGCTAACAACGTTCCGTGTGCCTTTGGCATTTAGTCATGCCGGCCACATGACCACAGAGACATCTTCAGACAGCGTTGGCTCTTCAGCTTTGAAACAGAGTAGGGAACGACTAGCACATATGTGCGAGGGGAACCTTTATCTTTACCTTTATAACTCCTTATGCTTAGCATGTGTTTGGAATCAAAATCGATCTTACTTTTGTTGTGGCTCATTAATATGAATTCATAAAGCTATTATAAATTGGACAATGTTCAGTTTGGACTCCAGCCCTAGCTAACTTTACATTGGATGCAAACTAAGTACATTATGTCATTTTCAAACATCTTAATAAATTGTAGTTAGTGTTGAACTGAAAATGCTTGTTCAATCAATAGTTGGAACCATTGAACCTTGAATCCATATTTGCAAGAAAGGAAATGCACAAAGAAAGACTGAAATGTTTTTAATGGCTAAGAATTGCGTTTAAAGACTTTGAGGTACAAGGTGCTCAGAAAATTATAGTCATGGATGGATATGACTTTTTTGGTTGAGGTATGATTTTATTTGGATTGGGGTTTTTTAATGGTTTTGGCCATAGCAAGAGACAATTTCTAGTTGATTTTGGGTTATTTCAAAAAATGTAACCAAGCTTAGATCATGTTCATACTTGGATTGGAAAACCTCAAAGAAACCTGAATTCTGTAGACTAGCCTGGCAAGTTTAAACAAACATAGAAGATAATAACGGTTATAAATAAAAGAAGATAATAAAAAAAACACTTCTATGGGGCTGACAAGGAAACAATGTGGACATGTCCATGAAATCATCAGCTTACAAAGTTGACTCAAGTGAAATGTTATCTTTAAGTTAATTTTGTGTGGGTATGTGATCGGATGGACCTGACTTTCAGTTTTCAGGTTCATGCCACCAGACTGACTATCAGGGCACAGAAGAGGAGATAAAATTAATTTATCTCTGTGCTAATGGATCCATCTTTGAGTAAAGAGAAAATCTAGGAAGGAATGAGAAGAGGGATAGACAAAGTTGATCTACTGAAAGGAAAGTAGAGCCAT